AGGGAGGGAGGGAGGGAGGGAGGGAGGAAGGAAGGAAGGAAGGAAGGAAGGAAGGAAGGAAGGAAGGGGAGATATGATGGGATTGGTCCAGATGGTCTCTTTATGGAGAAAGACATTTCTTCTTAAACAGCTTTATTGGGGCATAATTGACATACAATGAACTGCCTATGTTTAAAGGGGTCAGTTTGAGAAAAGCCTTCAGCTAGAATGACAGCCCCGTGTCCTGAGCAGAGGGGAGATCCCAGAGTCCTTCTCACTGCAGTCAGTCCTCTGGACCACGTAGTTTATGCCAGGGTCATTCCCCTGTTTTTCTTTTTAAAATATTTATTTATTTATTTAGGCCGTGCCAGGTCTTAGTTGTGGCACGCGGGATCTTCGTTGCAGCATGCGGACTCTCAGTTGCAGCATGCATGTGGGATCTAGTTCCCTGACCAGGGATCGAACCCAGGCCCTCTGCATTGGGAGAGCAGAGTCTTACCCACTGGACCAACAGGGAAGTCCCTCCCTTGTTCTAATTGTGTTTTTTGCTTATTGTTTTTTTTTAATTGTTTTGTTTTGTTTTTTTTGTGGTACACGGGCCCCTCACTGTTGTGGCCTCTCCCGTTGTGGAGCACAGGCTCCAGACACGCAGGCTCAGCGGCCGTGGCTCACGGGCCCAGCCGCTCCACAGCATGTGGGATCTTCCCAGACCGGGGCACGAACCCGTGTCCCCTGCATCGGCAGGCATACTCTCAACCACTGCGTCACCAGGGAAGCCCTGTTTTTTTAAACTGTTAAAAAAATTTTTGGCTGTGTTGGGTCTTCGTTGCTGCATGCGAGCTTTCTCTAGTTGCAGTGAGTGGGGCCTACTCTTCGTTGCGGTGCGCGGGCTTCTCATTGTGGTGGTTTCTCTTGTTGCAGAGCACGGGCTTCAGTAGTTGTGGCTCCTGGGCTCTAGAGCGCAGGCTCAGTAGTTGTGGTGCACAGGTTTAGTTGCTCCACGGCATGTGGGATCTTCCTGGACCAGGGCTCGAACCCATGTCTCCTGCATTAGCAGGCAGATTCTTAACCACTGCGCCACCAGGGAAGCCTCCATTTCATACTTTTGACATCTAGAACTGTAAGATAATAAATCTGTGTTGTTTTAAGCTTTGTGGTAATTTGTTACAGCAACCGTGGGAACTAACAAAACAGCCCACGACCTGAAACCTTCCTATGTGACCTCAGACATCATTCATTGATTCAGTGCTATGCACTGTTCTAAACACTGAGTAAGCAGTAGTAAAACGAGATAAGGCCCCTGCCCTTAAGGAGCTTACATTCTAGGGAGGGTATACAGTCAACAGACAACTCAAGAAATAACTGCAGTAGTAAGTGGCATGACATAAACAAAACAAGGCACTGGGGAAGTGACCACTGGTGTGCCTGGGGAGGGGCTTCTTTAGACAGAATCCTCAGAAGGGGATTCTGTCGGGTGACATGTGCACCAAGCCTTGAATGACAAGAAGGACCAGTTGTGGTTGATCTGAAGGAAGAGCATTCCTGGCAGAGCAACCCGCAAGAGCACAGGCCCTGAGGTAGGAATGAGCTTGGAGTGTCTGAGGAACAGAAAGAAGGAGGTCCATGTGGCTGGAGCAGAGAGGGTCCTGGGCAGGCGGTCAGAGAAGAAGCGAGGAGCCAGATCATGCAGAGGCTCACATTCACAGCACGGAGCTGGGATTTTACTTTAATTGCAGAACGAGGCTTATTAGAAGGATTTGAGTCGGGGAGTGACAGGATTGGGTTTATTTGTCTAAATAATCAAGTCTTGTTGCTGTGTAGTGAATGAACTATAAGGGGTGAGAGTAGGGGCAAGAGGACCAGTTATGAGGTCACTGCTGTAATCTAGGTGAGAGGCGATGATGGCTTGGACCAGTGTCCACAGCCTGGAGGCAACCACTGCTACCGTTTCTTGAGAATCCTCCAGAACTGTTCCATGTACAAACACAGCAAATGCTTTTTTTTGCAAATTCATTTTTGTTTTTTTAAATGACAATTTAGAAAGGTTAGTAGGAAGGTATCCTGCTTATAGAGTAATAGAGGGTGTGCTGTGTTTATACAGAAACGATTTTTCCTAGATAAAATTGTCCCTAGAGTAGAGAGGGGCAAATTACTACTTCAGCCCTAATCCTGTTTTGATTAAACAACCCTCAGTTTTATACTTTGGTCTCCTGAGTTAACTTAGGAGGGACTGTCCCACAGAAGTAACTGATGTTGATTCTTTTGCTAGGGATAGGTGCTGCTCAAAATACATACACAGAACTTCCCTGGTGGTGCAGTGGTTAAGAATCTGCCTGCCAATGCAGAAGACGCGGGTTTCAGCCCTAGTCCGGGAAGATCCCACATGCTGCGGAGCAACTAAGCCCGTGCACTACAACTACTGAGTCTGCGCTCTAGAGCCCGCGAGCCACAACTACTGAAGCCCGCGTACCTAAAGCCCATGCTCCGCAACAAAGACCCAAACGCAGACAAAAATAAATAAATAAATAAATGTTTTTAAAAAAGAAATACATAGATTGGCACTTTCGCTTTAGGAGACAGCTGAGCGAAGAATAAAGAAGGCAGAATTTGGAATTGGATAGGTCCAAATCAAAACAATTTATTGTGTTTAAATATTAGAACCTAGGGGCAGGACAGGAATAAAGACGCAGATGTAGAGAGTGGACTTGAGGACACAGGGAGGGGGAAGGGTAAGCTGGGACGAAGTGAGAGGGTGGCATTGACATATATACACTACCAAATGTAAAATAGGTAGTAGGAAGCAGCCGCATAGCACAGGGAGATCAACTCAGGTGCTTTGTGACCACCTAGAGGAGTGGGATAGGGAGGGTGGGAGGGAGATGCAAGAGGGAGGGGATATATGCATACATATAGCTGATTCACTTTGTAATACAGCAGCAACTAACATAACAATGTAAAGCAATTGTACCTTATATATAAAGATATATAATTATATCTTTATACCTCTATAAAGATGTTAAAAAAAAAAAAGATTAGAAATGGGAGAGCAGGAGTAACCAGAAAATCATGACCTTCATACAGAAGGCAAAGTACATTTGAACTATGCCAGAGTTGGGAGGTAAAAGCACCTAGGGGCTTGGGCTTCCCTGGTGGCGCAGTGGTTGAGAGTCCGCCTGTCGATGCAGGGGACACGGGTTCATGCCCCCGTTTGGGAAGATGCCGCGGAGCGGTTGGGCCCGTGAGCCATGGCCGCTGAGCCTGCGCGTCTGGAGCCTGTGCTCCGCAACGGGAGAGGCCACAACAGTGAGAGGCCCGTGTACCCGCTCCAGTGGAACAGAGGGGCTGGAAGGGAAAGTCCTCAGAGGATCTGGGCAGCAGATTCTAAGCCTCTGTCCCCAGTGGCCATTCTAGGTGGTTAAAATAAGGGTCCTCAACTTTTCTATGCTCGGTTTTCAATACCAGCATTTTTGCACCTTATGTATTTGCACTCTCAATCTCCTTCTTAACATCAGCAGAGGAATTATTCCCATTACATGGTTACATGATGATACTTCCTAACAGCCAACGGTTTGGTTTCTTCAGTGTCACATTCTCTGCTTTTGGAGCTATTCTGCAATTATAGCATTTGTGTGTGTGGTTTCGTTTTGTTTTGTTTGCAATATTTTTCAAACTGTGCTTCTGGGACCCCTGGAGGTGGTGTCCTCAAAGAGCTTACGATCTATATGGAAAGGGAGACAAGCCATCAGTAACCATAAAGGGAGACCAATGCTGGGATAGGTGCAATGGGAGAGCAGAAAGGAGCAGCCACTCTTGTTTGGAGGTGTCAGAGAGGGCTTCTAAGAGTAATGTGGTCTTGGCTGAGGGCCAAGGATGAGAAGGAATTAGCCAGGAGTACAACCTGAGGGAGCACTTATTATAAAGCCTCAGTGATCAAGATAATATGGCACTGGCATAAAGATAGACAAATAGATCAATGGAAGAGAAAAGAGTCCAGAAATAGTCCTACAAATATATAGTGAATTGATTTTTGACAAAAGTGCAAAGAAATGCAATAAAGAAGGGAAAGTCTTTTCAACAAATAGTGCTGTAACAATTGGATATCAATAAGCAAAAAAAGGGCTTCCTGGGCTTCCCTGGTGGCGCAGTGGTTGAGAGTCCGCCGGCCGATGCAGGGGACACGGGTTCGTGCCCTGGTCCGGGAAGATCCCATATGCTGCGGAGCGGCTAGGCCCGTGAGCCATGGCCGCTGAGCCTGCGCGTCCGGAGCCTGTGCTCCGCAACGGGAGAGGCCACAACAATGAGAGGCCCGCGTACCGCAAAAAAAAAAAAAAAAAAAAGGGCTTCCCTACATAGAGATCTATTGAATATGAATCATCTTTTAAAAGTCCACTCATTAAATATGTTCCTCTCTGTATTTTTTATTAATATATTTTATTTAGTGATGAAATAACATTTAGATTTATAAGGGGGAGACAGAGAGACAAAGACAGATACACTCTTGAGAAGGAGGACAATTCCCAAAATAATGTCGAAGATATTTATCGATAAAAGCTTGTTTAAAAAAAAAAAAAGAAAGGGCTTCCCTGGTGGCACAGTGGTTGAGAATCCGCCTGCCAACACAGGGCACACGGGTTCGTGCCCTGGTCTGGGAAGATCCCACATGCCTCAGAGCAACTAAGCCTGTGCACCACAACTACTGAGCCTGAGCTCTAGAGCCCGCGAGCCACAACTACTGAGCCTGCGTGCCACAACTACTGAAGCCTGCGCACGTAGAGCCCGTGCTCCTCAACGAGAGAAGCCACCGCAGTGAGAAGCCTGTGCACCGCAACGAAGAGTAGCCCCCGCTCACCGCAACTAGAGAAAGCCCACGCGCAGCAACGAAGACCCAATGCAGCAAAAAATAAATAAAATTTTTTCTTTAAAAAAGCTCTATGAGACCAGGAACTTGATCACTGCTTATGTCTTTAGCACTTAGAAATGTCTGGCACATAGTAGGTACTCAATAAATATTTTATATTACTTAAACTACATCAAAATACTATGATATAGGAATGACTGTCCTAAAGATTAGAAAATTGAAGACAGAGAGGTTAGGTAACTCAGCGAAGGTCACACAGATCAATGTGTCAGAGGCGCGACTCAGCTCTTAGGTTCTTAACCGGATGCCTCTGTTTTGTTTTTTCTTTGGCCTCGCCATTCCCTGACCAAGGATGGTACCCGTGCTCCCCCAGAGGAAACGTGGAGTCTTAACCACTGGACCACCAGGGAAGTCCCTGGACGCCTCTGTTTTAATAGGCAACCTGGACTCAGAAGCAAAGTGCCAAGCACATGGGCAATTAGTATTTACTGAACAAATAAATGAAAGTAGACTTTAGCCCATGCTTTCATCTATTGCTCAGTCTCTGTTGACAGGCCTATTAGCTTGTTAGTGCATATGAAATGCACACCCCTCTACACCTAACAGTTACTGAAAGAATAAATAAGCTAAATGTGTAAACTAAAAAACACATTAACCTAAATAGTGTGATAGGCAGTAATTTTTTCCTCATACATGCTAAGCTATGGAGAGGTAGGCAAAGAAAAGTGAAAATCCAGGAATTGAGGTTGAAGGAAAGGGTGTTTCAGGACCTCAATTAATTTTGTTTAATGTCTTTATTGGAGTATAATTGCTTTACTATGTTGTGTTAGTTTCTGTTGTACAACAAAGTGAATCAACTGTAAGTATACATATATCCTCATATCCCCTCCCTCTTGAGCCTCTCTCCCATCCTCTCTATGACCTAGAGGGGTCTCTAAGACCCCTCTATGTCTTCACAAAGCATCCAGCTTATCTCCCTGTGCTATGCAGCAGCTTCCCACTAGCCATCTCTTACTTCATCCCAGCTTCCCCTTCCCCCACTGCGTTGAGTCCGTTCTCTACGTCTTTATTCCTGCCTTGCCACTAGGTTCACCAGTACTGTTTTTTTAGATTCCATATACGTGCGTCAGCATACGGTATTTGTTTTTCTCTTTCTGACATACTTCACTCTGTATGACAGACTCTAGGTCCATCCACCTCACTACAAATAACTCAATTTCGTTTCCTTTTATGGCAGAGTAATATTCCATTGTATACTATGTGCCACATCTTCTTTATCCATTCATCTGTCGATGGACGCTTAGGCTGCTTCCATGTCCTGGCTATTGTAAATAGTGCTGCAATGAACATTGTGGTATATGTCTCTTTTTGAATTATGGTTTTCTCAGGGTATATGCCCAGTAGTGGGATTGCTGGGTCACATGGTAGTTCTACTTTTAGTTTTTTAAGGAACCTCCATACTGTTCTCCATAGCGGCTGTAACAATTTACATTCCCACCAACAGTGCAAG